ATGCGGAATCGAATTCATCTGCATCTCGAATCTCATAATGATTTCACGATATTATATTAATGTTGATGAAACAAAGTATTAATCTAATAACACGAAGAATAACGAAAAAAACTTACAATTAATATACAAAAGCAAAAATGTTATTTGTTTAGTTATAGATAAAAAAATTATTTTTTAGAAACGTGGCAACGATGATTGTTCTATTTTTATGCTTCGTTTCTAGGCATTTGCGACAGATCGTAATTCGATATCTTGTTTACTTTTTCGATAACTAGTCGATCAGTAACGTAATATATCTATGTCAGATAATGTACATATAGTCTTATTTATGCTGCTAAATAATGTATTTTTCGAACATCGAACATATATTGACCCGTGGTATTGAAAAGTTTTTGGCCGAATGCGTGTTCAGCAACTATCAAACGTGAGCGAGATAAGACGCAACAAGTTCGATGAAATCGAAACGATTTATCATTGGCGTTGTACTCATGTGAGTTGGCGTTGCCTATTATTTCACGTGAAACGGTTCGAAACATGAAAACGTTGTGAGATTTTTTGACGATAAGATTCAACAGAACCGTGTCGCATTAGTATTTGAATGTAAGCGCAATTTTTATGCGCTTTTTCTCCGACAGGATTCGGTATGCAACACGTGGTAAATTACTTTCCGCACTTCCATAATTCATATGTTCGCTTATTTTACATACCTCTGTATTAAAATTTATTTTATAGAAAATTATTTTGCAATTCTATTGTTAAAACGCAATGTATATATATACACATAGATACTAAAATAAATTTATTCAATAATAAAAACTAAACCAAAAAGAGAATAACAGCCGGATGGAATCTTAGCTTAACAGGACGCTAAATATCTCGCATTTCATTGGCCCTTCCAAATCATTTATACAATGTACATGCGTACAGCATATTGCTATGAAAATTTAGAAAAATCATCAAAGTTTCAAAATATTTATTTACAAATTCAATTTACGAAGCTAGCAGCTTGTAACATATAACGAATTTATTAACTTGTTGCAAGAGATGCGTGTACCGTTCAAATTCCATCCCGCTCTCGTAACTTTCACAAGATAATCTGATCTGTACCTGGTCGGTTCCATCGAAAACGGTATTCCTATAGAATGGCGAAATCGTTTGGCACGGAGGAAGATGGTCGAACACCCCATGATCGTTCGTCACTTTACTGAAATTCGCCTGTCTCCATGTTCTTGGTCGGGATTTTCACGCACACACGCACGCAGCCGCAGCACCACCACGGTGACGACGACGCAGTGCTGCCAAAGAGAGGCAACCCAGAGAGACCGGGTGCCGGTTCGCCGTTGGAACAGTCTCGAAAATGCATCCTCTATAGGAGCATTAGTTCGGTGAGAAACAACGAGGAAAAAACGAAAATGTCGCGGGACCAGTCGTTCTAATGGAAAACTGCGAGGAACGGATGTACAGCGAAAGCGAGAAAAATAAAGAAAAAAGGTGGCGCGATTCGCGGTCGCACGAGAAGGTTGCCGGCTGCCGCCTTGGCACTGACAGTGGCCCTCGCGCCTAGCAACACCGAACGCCAAACTGTCGACTCGCCGAAGGCAGCCGGCACCGCACCACCGTGCCCCCCTTTTTCATCGACGTGTCCTTCTCGCGCTCTCCCGCTTCTTTCTCTCTCGAACAGTTCCTCCGTCGTACCATGTCGCTCGCACACACGCGTTCCTTCGTTCTTTCTCTTTCTCGTTCTGTCTCCCGGTGTCGCCTGCACGTCCATTTTCTTTCGTCGCTATTTACTTTTGTCCTCGTTTTGCTCTTTTCACGCGTGTCTCCACTCTATTCGCGTCTCTTTTTCTTATTCTGTTCGTTTCTATCTTTGTTTGAACGAAATATATATATAAGAGAAGTATATAGAAGAGAGTTGTTTGTCTTCGTCGCGATCGCGATTCACGTTCGTCCTTATCTTGCGAAGTCACACGCTACTCACTCTGCCTTTTTCTCGCTTTGCGCGCAATTTCTAGCGAGCCAACCAGCCGCGGGCCAGCAGCCGAACCAGTGCGAAAGCCGGTAACCGGCACAACGCGCCATACCAAAGCGATCAGCCGATTGGCTGGCCGCCCGCGACTCGACCAATCGCAATGCGTCTTCGGTCGTCAGGTGGTGCTGCGTTCTCGCAGACACGAACGCCTGCTACATCGGAAAAAGTTGGTTCCTGGCAGTTTTGACGACATTACGGATTTTAAGGATAAAAAGTTTATATCTATGATATTGTCTCTTGCGACTAAATCAATTGATCTTTCTTATTGAGGCCTGCACGTGTAGGTTACTTCTTCTGTTCCTATATACTTCCAAGCTATATTCCATTTTATTGCATTTTCCAGAAAAATTCCAAACAAGATGTGTAGGCCAATAAAAAGCAAAGTGGCAAAGACATGAAATAACAGTTCTTAGAAGAACATTTTCCTGAAACCGTAAATCATCCAACTCAAGCAAGTGCACATAAATGGACCATCATACATCGAATTTTCCATATACATACATACTGTACAACACATTTGAAACTATGAAAATACATTATGGCTGCCAACCATTGTCAGTTCATGAAAATCATCTGTGGAGTTTCTATCGAATTGTTGTTCTGCTAAATGGACGCATTTACACCTCTTCGAACACAATATGTACGAAGATTGCTCGAAATTATCACCGGTGTAGATATATCAACCTAACCCAACAATCTTAAAGAACGACGTCTGCTACAAGTGCTTCATGCAGTCATACAAGCCGTACAACTTCGATTTTTAAACCTGGTATTTTAAGTTATATTTACCATAGTATTTTACATTCTAAAGCACAGCTAATGCGAATAAAATAATAGATTGGTAATAAAAGGCGGTAAATAAAAGCAGTGTGAAGAATTCATAATTTGTAATAAATATTAGCATGGGATTCTTGCACGATAATGTAATAATTAATAATATTAATATGTCTACACTCTATGAGTTATAGACATAGAGATCAGAAAAATCAACAAAGGAAGACATATCATATTTCTCTTCGTTTATTAATTTTATCGTTTATTTATTAATACCAGGTATTTTGTGACTTGTAAAAATTTCATTAACAACAATAGTTTAATTGTGCAAGACGACCCTGGAAAAAAACTTTGCTACATTCTCATTAATCAAAAATCATCTAACAATACCAACCCACGAAACACAAATTACAGAGATGAGTCATCTCGAGAGCCATTATTCCTAATGTACGTGTGTTTTACTGATTTCTGTCACTTCTTTCCCTTCCATTTTCGCCTGTTTTCTTCTTCACCTTCGCGTCTGGCCGAAATAGGTCACGGTGCAAAGCAAAGGAGCAAGATGGGACGGGACGGCAGCGACATGGAGAAAAGCCAGCCGAGGACGAGGATCACGCGCGTTGAGTACGTGCCTTGCATCCGGAGGCGCGTTGCGTTCCGTTCGCCATTGCCTGATTAACTCGACGTCATTTATCAGATTAAATGGATAATGCTGGTTAGCGTCTGACGTAACACCGCACTCCCAAGAACCGCCGTTTCTCAAAGATTCTTTATTATCTTACTGGTCTGCCTATGGACACACCAACGTTACGCAATCGAACAAGCCGCTGAAATTGGATGCGAACAATCGGCCGTGTTAACGAGTTCATTGTGTTTCTGTCCAAAACGCGATACTAGCCGGGTGGCCCTGCTGTTATGTAACCTAGCTATGGCTATCTATCGAGTTTAATAAACGAAGGAAGAAAATGAAATTTAGGATAAAAATGTATGGAAATTATTTCTGTGAGAAATGTTTAGTTATTTAGTAAATTAGTAATGATCAGATTGCCTGTGTAAATAAATGGAATGTAAATTTGTTTCATTCTCTAAATATTACAACCTAGTACTTTATTTTAAAGATTTTGTATATTCCTGCAATTTATATGTATTCTGTACATTTAAGTAGAGTAATTAGTAATTACATTTTAGTAACTCGAATACATTTTTATGAAGATTTGAAGATGCTGTGACATGTGAAGTAGTAATTCATTTTTTTATTATGAATCAGTAATAAATTGTTAACTGTAACTTACATTTATTTTTATGGAGATTGCAGAAATTGTATCGCAAAGTAATAAATTCCGTTTTTTACTAGGAATTTCTTAGAAACACGCTGTAAAATTTTATGACACCATCGTCATTGTAGATATTGAACACTTGTAATTGTTTGTACACCAGGTAGGTAATAATACGTATAAATGTTTCAATTAGCAAGAAAATTTAAAAATGGAAGATATAGTTAATGCTAAAAGTAATAAAAGGAATAAGCAAAGTTTGAAATTTCTAATTTTAATTTTTTTTTTATTTTAAATAGGCAAAATTGAGTATAATACAGTGCCAAAGCGAAGCATGATAAACTCTCACATGGCACATCCAAAAGGTCGGCTTCAACGACGAAATCACAGTCATCTCGCTGCGAACGCACAGTTTAACCGGTAATTAGAGTTTACGGCAGCCACGTTGATTAGGTCGTTAAAGAAACTATTACGCCGACTAAATACAGTCTAGGCACTCCCACTAGTCTCCGCTGAATTGCAATTTGATGCAGTAGGTACGTTGATCACGTGAACATTAATATCCGTTTTCTAGACTTCTTACAACTTTCATGATCCATACTGTAAGATTTACGAATTTTTTATCGTTCGAGATAAAAAATAGGAAATGAAGAATTGGAGGAATATGCATCTTTTATTCATAAAAAATAAAGTAAGATCTTTAAATATTATTAAATTTTCTACAATTCCAATTAACGAATGAAGGAAATTAAATGTTTACAGAATTATAAATTCTTTGTAAAAATGTAATATCCTTAAAATACTTGAAGAGGCTCTATATAGCGATTGTCAACAATGTTCAACTAAATAATAACTTTAAAATGAAATTCTTCATGCAAACAGTTTAACAAGACAATGGTTTAGACGCTTGAGTACACATTGCATTTGTATAACGAGTTTATTCTCAAAGACTCTTTATTTCACCAAGGTTATAAAATTACACTGCGCAGCTTTTGACAACTACCGCATCTCTATCTCTTTGTGAACTTTTAATGATCTTTTCAAACATGATATATTCACGCTACTGAAATCCTAAGATAGACAACGACGAGTTCTTGTAATTAAGAGAAACACGAGAATTATATGATGTATCTTTTTTGATTATCTTCCATTTTCTTTTCTTTTGGTACAAATTTTATATTTTTGTCTAGCTATATTCTATATTTAGTACGTTATAGTTCTACTATTAATGGAAATTTCAGTCAAAGAAATCAACCTGATCTCTTTCACACAACAAGAATGACAACAATTTCTGATCAACCTAATTGCGATTAAAACAACAAAGACGTATCTTTTCTGGGAAATTTTGCATCGTTTCGTACGAAAGATGAGACGATCGAGAAACATATACCTATATTACACGAAGGCTACGAGTTTCGTCTGTTCGAAATAAAAATGTGGCACATATGCACAATTCTTGGACACAAAGAGGAAATTATTAGGTTTGTCAACGATCTGCTTGAGTTGTCCGAGTAAATTGCTCGAATTACCTCAGCACCCGGCAATGGAAGGTGACCTACTGTCAGAAACGATCTCTCCAAAGGATTGTGCAACTTGAAACTTTAGAATTTTTCTTCTTCCGCCATTCGGTTCTCTTTTGAAGGGACCCAATTACCAAGGTGATATAGGCGATCTCGCATTAGGAATTCGCCGTCCTTTAAGAAGATTGAAAATCGTTCTTCATAACAGCTTAATAGTCAGCTCACAGCTCGTTTTGACTCTGTGATCGAGATAATGAAGCGATTTAACATGGAAATTTGCGAAACGGTCAACCTAATCTCAGCACAGTAGAATGTATTATTAACCTGAAACGCGTTCGTTTGTGTTTCGTCATATTTTTTCTCGTAGGAATGACATTATTCGCAGAAATAATAGTTTTCGAGGAAGTATAAATCATATTTGTGGAGGATTAGTCGTTGTTAGGTCGAGCGAAATAACGAGAGCGAAATATTGCTGCCGCAGTCCGTCAAATATATTTTGAATAAATAAATAAATAAATAACTTATTGACGAATTTGTGAATCGTTGGTACAAATGCAAGTTACGGAATACATACTCGATAAATACTCGGAGAAACTTTGTAGATCACTATACTGGTCGGAGGAGAACCAGAAAATTCGAATTCGTCTGCGTTTGATCTTTGTATGTAGCGGCGACATTGTTTTGCCCAGAGTTTATTTTTCTTACATTACTTGTAACCTAACGGTCTTGATACTTCGAGGTAAAACAACAGGATTTGAATTGTTCTTTGACTCGTGTGCCGCTACACATTTTATACCTTTTGTGGATGAGCAATTTTAAAATTCAGTTTGCCGTCGACCAATTTTATTGTATTATTAAATATGTATTATCGTATTATATATTATTCTCTGTATTTCATTAAAATCGCATTTTTATTTGGTTTCATTCATTTAATGTGTTCTTTTGTCCATACGCCGATATGTCAAAAATATCGAATTGCAACAATTAATTAATTAATTGATTAACTTTGTGGATTTAACATCTATATTTAAAAATCGTAAATTCTGGGAGATTATAGATTTTCTTGTTTAAGTATGTTGTACCAGAGTACTCTCTTTTAATCACTAATTAAATATTGAAAGCAGAAGATCTACAAAAACGATTTTTATTCACAAGGAGACAGTAAACAGAATATTATTAGGATATTGGTAAATTATTATTAATATAGGAAAATGATTGTCATATGACTGCTTCGTAGATCGTACTTACTGCAAGTACTTTAAGATCTTACTGTCTGACTATTGCCATACAAGAGCTACTTTGTTGCTTCTTAGCACAGAAGAAATTATCTAACAGATAATAATTATTTAACAAGCAGTAAGATTATCAAACTGTGATTTCAAGAACATAAAATATTCTAAACTCCCTTCCTAATTATACATACTCTAAATTTAGTAATATTGTTTTATTGATGCAAGTTATAAGGCAACATAATTCTAGGTTTCTTCTATCGATTTTGATTTTATATGAACTTTATACTTATTGCTTAAAAACTATTAACAGGGTATATTGCTAGGTGTAATAACTTAATAACAACGCCAAGCCTCGTATCACATGCAATCTAATTCCGTCACTAAGTTTCCATATCATATATTGATACTAAATTATTTATTATCGTATATTAATCGATAAATATAGAATAATAATGTATTAAACGAAGCTCATATAAAGCTGCAAAGCTACGATCAGCTATGTTAAATACACCAGCAATAACCAGGAAAATACAACAGCAGCATATGATCTGCTAAAGAAGCTTCTCACACAACCATTAAATAATAGATTATAAAAGATACGTACATCACAAAAGATAGAATACGAATGAAATAATCATAGCAAATTAGATACCACTTCGTTTCAGTGGTACGTCCAAATCAATTTAAAATGGTCGAAGACGTTATAGAAGTAGTCGTGGGTGCCTATAAATACAAACACCACGAATTTAGCCGAATTCGCAGGATATAGAAAAACGGTTGCGCGGCTGCAGTTGCCGGCCAAGGTCGTGGCCTTAATCGTTATTGGGCGTCTGACCTATATATACCAGATGCGCCCTAGGATTTAAAGCAAGTTTCTCAAACTACTACCGGGGGCTATATTGACTTGGAGGAGCATTCTAGATAAACGATACGGCAGTGCAGAGGCTGAGATATGTCCTCCAGCAATAGCCAAATAAACGAATTCGAAACTTTCCAAATCGAACCAGAGATTGCTACCACCAACGACAAATTTCCACCGTGTTCATAAGAAAAACTATGTTCCCGCGGTCGTTTGAAACCGAACAATTTTTACTCGTATTACTTTATCATATATAACTACTTACATTTAATTTTTATTAGTTTCCGGGTTGGTCAAGAAATCACGCATCGTGAGATTTTGCTTGTGAATATGACATAATTATTCAGACAGTACAACATGGAAATTAAAACTCTCACAACGAAATGTTTTTTGCATTATGTAAAAAGAATTTTTGTCGTAAATTATCGATAACGAAGATACAGTTCTTTTGACGTTCTTGTCAAGGAGGAAATTTAGCGCAATTAGAATCAGTTTTACTGGACATGAAAAAATAATTATTTAACGGTATCTTAAAGTGCACGTAATGTTGGTTGCAGGCAACATCGAGCGTGAAAAAGTATTCATATTTCTTTTAAATATAAAATTTGGCAATATGTAATCTTAGTTCTTCTTGTAATTGTACATGCTGTCGATGTCCCCGATATTACGTATTTAAGGAAATGATTATACTTATTAAATTTAATTGCAAATTCTCGAAGATTGAAGGTACATAGGTTCAAATAACACAGGTCCTTAAGATACTGGTATTAAATTTACCCAAATATTTCTTCATTCGTTGGCCGATTCTTCTAAAAACTACCTTTTACATTAACCGCAATTTTGCACCTTTGTCAGATACATCATATATTTACGATAAGAGAAATTGCTTAATTGTATACAATTACGAATTTTATTTTATATCATAAATTTAGTAATAAGCATACACAGTTACTAATTTCGTGATTGCGCTGCTATGTACTAACATACAGCTGCAACATGATTTTCCCAGCAACGAAGCAAACTTAAATTGTTACTTGATAATTTGACGAGATCAGAACCGGCCTTAAAGCAACTCGTTAGAACAAGATCGCCGGATTCACGATGTTGATCAAGACCAAAAGGGAGTTGGCCCACCAGCGATGATTCAATCTTGATAATCGATTGGCCTTCGAGACAGTCGATCGCCGCTATCGACTTTCGTATATAACAGCAGATCTGGCCTCTAGTTTATGTCACACTACAAAAGCACCGAAACACAAGCAGATCGCTGTTAACGTTATCTACCTTACCGCACCGTTTGCTCGATGAAATAGCGGCTCGCAAAAGAAATACGTCCTCGAATCCACGTCGAGGTTTACGCTCACGCTTCGACCGATGACTCGTCTAAAGTATCGTTGAGTAGACACGGGACATACACACGTACATACATACATAGGCGGATCGATTTATTGGACCTGTATTTCGGGAGTGTTGTTTATTTTTGGCGAAGGGTTCGAATTACGTTCCCTTTGTAATCCTTCACTGGCACTTTCACTTAGGAATTTATCATTCAGCCTTTAGAGGTCAGTAGATATTTGGCAGTTGGAAAATTGGAAAGTGGGGAAATTTACACATTTGGGAATTAAGATATTACAAAATTCATAAGGATGAGAAATTCACGAACGTTTCGACAATTCGCGAACGTTCGACAGTTTGAAAAGTAGAAATTCTGAGAAATTAGAGATCCAACGTCAGAGAATCTGACAAGTCAAAATTTTGAAAATTCTGAAGTCCGAAAATTTTCGAAAAGTTGGAACTGCGAAAAATTTGACGATTCGAGAATTGGAAACCTTACGAGTTCAAAATTTCGAAAAATTGGGGAAATCTGAGAAGTCAAAAATTGGAAATTTGCAAAATTTCGAATCTTTCAAGATTACGTAAACTCTAGGAGACCTTCGTCAAACGAACAAACAGTGCGTGCGTGAAATCCGACGAAGCTATCTAGCGATAAAATTCGCTGGTAAACGGCCATTCCGCGTGATTAATTTTATATGTACGTGAAAATGGAAATGAAGTCGATATCGTGTGTCACGGAAGACAAAGCTGGTGCAAGAGAGAGATATGTACATCCTATTGGAATATCACGTTGGCAAAACGGCCGTCAGAAACAACAGACCGGTTTAATGCAGCGAATTAATGATATATCATTTCCTCCCTTGATGTCTTTTGTTTCACTAGCGGGCTCCCTGGTGAAATACCTTTCGCTGCTTCCGCAGCCACAAAAGTGATATTTTTTCCTAAATTATTAATTCGATATTACAGATATCCAGTTACTTTGAATAAAATCGAGGTAAATACGTTTTTCAACGACATTAGTACAATGGTGGTGGCAAGTTAATGGCTATCTGATCTTGCTCGACCGACCTCGAAGGTATTCAGAGCGATATGATTGATCGTCAAAAGGCCGTTCGTCTGCTGACTGGTAGATTGACGGTGCAATTCTAAAGACGGCCACTCGTGTCAGATTCTTAAACCGAATTTACCCTGTTTCACTTTGGAGAAAGATGGCGGATGAGTGCTTGTTTCGTATTCCTGCAAAGTGAAACAGCGTAAATTCGACTTTACGTACGTGTTTCGTTTCAGCAAACAGTCGATGGTCTAAAACACTTGCGAATACGATGATACGAAAGTCTGTTGCAAATGTAAAATAAATCTTGGTGAGAAATTGGCCTCGTTCAGGAAGAGGAGAAAGAAGAAGAAGAAGAAGAAGAAGAAGAAGAGTTTGTTAGTTCTGGCGAGATTTTACTACGAATGCGCGTATAAGGAATTATACAGTTTCTATAATAATGTTTCTTTCGTTATAGAATCATGCCTTACTTTGGATTATTAATCTTTGGAATACTAGTGCGGACTGTAACATTCCTTATTCATTTTCTTTTTGTTATTTGTAGGAGACGGTACTTCTTTGTGAGCAGCTTAGTATATAACAGGTTTGAACTTCTTTAAAGTGATTGTTATGTTAATTTTTCCTCACTCGGTGTTACATACACGCAACAGCGTACCTTAAGAACTTACATTAACTATCTAAATAATAAATGTATCTGTACCCTGTGAAACTGGTCTTGAATTTTAAAGTATCAGAGATACGTATCTCCATGATTGACAAAAAGAAGTTACGTTTCCATGGTTCAAAAAAATCAATCGATCAGTGAAAGAAGTTTAAATAGAATTATGTTGTTTAACTACCTATATTTTCGACTCTGTATAGGTCAAGTGTCCTAGGGTTAATTATCTTCTCCACGAAAAATGAAAAAACGTAAGAGCATATTTCTGGTCTAACATTCTAGTGGGACTTGAGGAACTAAATTGTTCCTAACACATTTCGTATTTAGAATGCAACAACGTTAGAGCGGACCGTGTTAAGGTCCATTTATACGATTGCAACAAGTTGGACAAAGTGTACGCTGCCGTTTTGGTATTCACTTTGATCCAGTAAATCGTACTGAGGACGTGTCGAGCGAATCAAATGAA